TGCATTCACAGCTGCATCTTCTCCATCAGGGAGGTTGGCAGTGTGACAAGCAAGGAGTGTGAATATTTCATGTCCTAAGTTTACATAGTGATAACTTAGTATTAAGTGTGTTGCTTCATCCAACAATTGTTTTTAACTTAAGTTGACCAGGTTACCTGAAGCTTCCTGGAAAGAAGGTCGTATGCAATAATGTGGTCAGTTGACTTTGTTGGCTGCCAAATGCTCACCCAGCTATGTTCTCTCTTTCCCCATCAACAGGATGGGGAAAGAAATAAGACTGAAAAATCTATGCATTGAGATAGACAGGACAATCATGCACCAGTTACTGTCATGGGCAAAACAGAACTGAGGAAAATTGCCAATTCAAATGGATTTGAATTTAAAAAAAAAAAGACACTATTTAAAATGCCCTCCTGCCATCTACCTACTCTGTCCCAGGCTCAACTTCTTGAGTCCTGACTTTGGAGTGACACAGTGAGGATGGGGAATAGGGAATTGCCATCAGTCCATAACACTTGCTGCTGCTTCCTTTTCACATTTTGTCTCTGTTCCAGCATGGGTCTGCTCCATGGGCTGTAGTTCCTGTCAGAAGAACTAGCTTTTGTGTATGGGATCTCTATAGGGGGCAGCTTCCTTCAGAAAATAACCACATAGCCTGTGGGAGGACCCTACACCAGAAGTGGATATCTGCTTCAGCATGGTCCTTTTAACAGGCTAGGGGGAAGTGTCTGATCCATTGCCTGGAGCAGCACCTCCTTCTCTGGGTTTGGTGTCTACAGGGCTGTCTTTCACTTTTTTCCTCACTCCTCTCTATCTGGTATTTTCCCCATTCTTAGATGAGTTTTCCCAGAGAGGCCACCATCTTCCCAGAGAGGCCACCATCTTCATTGCTGGGCTCAGCTTTGGCCAGCAGTGGGTCAGTTGGAGCCAACAGGAAATGGCTGTGCCCAGCATCAAACAGCCTCTGGCCTGTCCTCAGAGAGGACACCCCTACAGCCCCTTTGGTACCAAAACCTTGCCATGCCAATGCAAATAGTGTCTTGCATGAGGAGTCTAGCATTGTCTTGGTTGGCATAACTGTTCAATAACATACCACCAGTTTTCTTTACTCTGGTAATAGATACTGGCCCTGAGAGGATGGCTGCTCCTTTAAATTTTTGTGTTGCTTCACTGTTGGTTCAGAGTCACAGAGTACCTGTTCTAAGAAGATTAACAGTTTCTTTTTTTTTGTTGGTACATGAGTACCACTGTAGGAAACAACTGGGCAGATGAATATCCTTTTAGCTTTTCAGAGGTGCAAATATTAACAATTTTTAGAAGTTAATTTTGAGGCTTTTTAAAGAGGTACCACCTAAGTCTGTGGTCTAAGATCATGTGGTCATTCTTGCTCAGAATGAATTAAGTTTAAAATTCCATGACTCTTAATAATGCTTTGGAATTATCCATATATGAAACAACTTTGCTTGATTGAAAACTGAGCGCAGGGATAGCAGACCAAGAGCTCTTTAAATAACTCAAACAAGGATGATGCAGAGGTTAAGGGAAAGTTTAGGAAGTTGAAGGGAAATACCAGGGAAAACTGTAAGCAGAATACAAATAACGTCAGAAAAGATTTAGCAGCTTCAGACTTGACTGTATGTAGTAGCAGTGGAAAAATACAGTAATCAATTGAGTATTTCTGTACTAAGTGGCCTGACATATTAAACTGAAATGAAATTAAGCTTTCCACTGTGACCTCGGAAGTAGTATGTTTGCAGTTTTACTATTGACAAATGTTCTGTATTGACATTTTTGTCTTGACTTTTCTTAGCCTGGTCGTAATCCCCTATGTTCAAATGTAAAACAAAGCTTTAACTAAACAACTTATTACTAGTTGGATATTCTAGTTGGTTTAAAGCTAGTAAACAGCAGTACAATAGTGTCCCAATAAGGCTGTGAATGACAGATTTGTCCTTTGCTATAGGTGACAAAAAGCAAGTGAGAGTGAGCTCCTGCTGCAGTGTTGTTTGAGCCTATCTTAGGCTTTCTGCAGGTGGAAAGGAAGTACTTATTCTTTCCCTTACCTACATACCAAATGATACCTAACTGGAGTCATGTTTTTAATTTAAGTTGGGTTGATACCACTTGATAAGGCTCTGCCAGGCTGTGTAAATTGCCAGCTCAACTAGTGGTCTGAGTGTTGGTATTCTCTTAATTGTTGTCCAAGTACCAGTTAATAGACTAGAAATGAGGTGTTGACTGGTCTGTAATGAGTTGAGGTACAAGGAAAATCTAGGTCCTAACATAAGGATCTCTCCTGTGACAGACCTAAGTCAACTGATGCTTTGAAATTGTGTAAATGTAGCTTGATGTTAATTGCAAATCATTTCTGGTTCAGTAGTCTTAATAGCACTGTGGAAATACAGGATTAACTGCGGTAGAATGAAGGTCTTCAATATTAGTCTTCTCAATCTTGTATTTAATGAGACTGCAGTTGAGGTTAAAATAGGAAGAGGAGTTCTATTTCAACACTACTTCCAAGCGTGTTACATATCACTTCAGGAGACCTATTCCAGAGGAGATATGGAGGCCTGTTTACTGGCCATAGTTGGCAGGTGTAATACAGAAGTAATACAAGCTTCAGCTTCTGTCTTAATTGTTTTGAAATACCTATTTCCTGTATGGCTAGTATCTAGTGGGAGTTTGCTGTGAAGCGGTAAAATTTGAGTACACTTAAATATGTGGAAATGTGCAAGTTAATACTTACCTTGACATTAGTCTCTAAATCTTTCCTTAACAAGACCTACATGACTTGAGTTGTTTTGTAAGCGTTGCTCTAATATTGTGTTTGAGTTCTACAGGTAGAAGCTTATCTTCAGAATTTAACGAACAATGATAGCATTGTAACTACAAATATCTTTAATAAGAAGCTATAATAAAGACCTTAACATTTCAAGGTGGCTGAGTGCCAAGTTTTACAGTTAATAAAATAATTTAAACTAAAACTGCTTCATTCATGTGGAAGACCATGCTTTGTGTTCCATTCCTGCATACAGAACACTATTGTCTTGGGAAGTTCAGCTTGCTTATCTGAGCACATTCTGTCACTGGGTTTCTAGGAAAATACAGTGAACCTGTTGGAGCTGTAACTGAATGGGTTTGCTGTCTGGGCTCACTTTTGTGCACCATCCCCTACCCCCGCCAAAAAGATTGAGGGAGAAAATGCACCAAGAAGTGGAAAATTATTTCCTGAACTAGCTTGTAGCCTAGGAAAACAATAGGGTTTTTTGTTGAGGACAGTTTGAAGAACAAAGTCCCTGGTTTGAGTGCTGTATTTGGTAGGCATAATAAAAACTTTCCTGTATTTTAATTAATATCTTAAATGACCTTATTTCTCTGAATCTGCTTGACTCAGACCATTCATAAAAACTAAGAAATTAAGCCACCTTTGAAAGAAAGTGGCTTCTTCATCTAAATGTAAAAATGAGAAGGAAATGGGGAAAACAGAATGTACAGGTATCAGAAATACTATTTTCAGTTCTCTAAACTTAATGCTAAGTTGCCTGAATTCTTTTTCATATTTTGATTGTATTCAAAGGCTAAATAATTTAAGATTTTTAAGCTATCTTCTTATTTTAATCTAGCTCTTAAAACCTGAAGAAGTCTGAATTCACAAACCCAACTTTACTGCTGATATGGGTGGTCTACAAGATCTTTATTTACTCCTAGTAAACTGTGTTTCATATGCCACTTCGGCTTAGCCTGTTCTTTTGTATGTCAGACATTTCCACATTAGTGTGCAAAAGCTTACAACAAAAATATTCAATTACTGATTTTAAAACCAATAGCAGTATCTGATTTAATTATTATAAATAATCATATTTATAGATTTACCTGTGCTTATCTAAGCTTATGACTTGCTGGCCAAATAACTACAGTTGTTATACTTTCTTTGGTTTCAAATTCTTGAATAGTGCACACACTCCAAGGGAGGATTGTGGGCCAAATAACTCACCTAATGCATCTAAGGGGGAAGCTCTTCTGGAACTTTCTCCAAGGGAGAGGCCTTTATCTGGCAGTTGTGATGTGGTCATAGCATTCTCATTTTAATCATTTGTGGATAGATAGTGTTTTAGAATAATAGTATTTAAGTAGGTAGCACTTACCTAGATTTTCTTGATAGTCAAATAGTTTTCCTACTACCTTAGTTTTTATAAGGATTTCTTTTTTTTCTTGTCCATTTTCAAGACTCCACACTGCTTCAAAGTTAAATTTCTAGGTGACTTAAAACTTTGAGTCAAAATACTTTGTAACGTTAATTTCCAACTTGAACGTTGGAAATTGCTTTGGAATATCCAGTACTGATGAGCATCTGAGGACTTTAAGGCAGAAACAAGGAAAAAAGTAGACCTGGTATTTGAGCTTGAGTCTTCTATCCTTCACAAGTGATTTGATCTTTGGGTGTTTTGAGTAGTGCTGCAGAAGGGAGCTGATCCTCAGGAAAGGGGAGATATTCCTTGTACACTGTGCACAGGCTGGCTTATGTTGGAAGGCAAACACACAGGCATGGTAGCCAGGGGCAACAAACTCTTATTTCCTTTAATTAAGCCAAGTGTGTGTATATAGTTAAAGTTTTCCATATTATATAGCAAGTACAGGTAGTGTGTTCTGCTGAATGCTGTGTTAATTTAATACATCTCATCTGTGTTCTTAATGAGATTTTTGAATTACAGGTAGACTTCCGTGTTGCATTACAGCACATAATGTACGTACCCACCAGGCAAAGAGCTGGTTCTCATCTTAGGTGATCCATTTTTTAAATGCTTAACATAAAGCCTGTTTCACAGAGTAAATACTTTGTTAGCATTTCTCTCAAGTATTTACCAAAAAGTTAGTTTCAAGTGTGTTTGAGCTCTGAGGTTGTCCAAGATCGTTAGTCCTTTGTTGAAACTTAAACAAGTCTTCACTTCTTTATCAACTGCAAGCACTTTCAGTTAAATTGTAATAAATCTTACTTTTAGATTGTGTGGGGAGTGTTCTTCATCATTGTGGCGCTGCTCTTCACTGTCTCGCTGTTCTTGTCAAAGTAAGTACATTTCAGCTTTTTTCTTAACCACTTAAATTACATATTTTCTGGTCTAACATCATATTCAGGGTTGGTTTGCTTCAAGAGTCAACCCACTTTTCTAGGATACATTTCTGTAACTAGAGATGCATTTCTGATTATAATAGTATATATTGAAACTGAGCAAAATGTGCTAAAACAGATTCAAATAAAGGATGTGGTTCAGCTTGATTGACTGTGTGCTGCTGGAAACAGTTCTGATTCAGCAGAGAAATTGAGCATATATGTTAAAGTTCAAACTACAGAAGTATTCTGATTGCTTGAATGCATCTTAAATGCATGTAGGTATGTCCTGGGCTGGGTAACAGGTGCTTAAATTACTGCAGTAAATGACATGTATAATCCATTATGATGTGCATTACATTGTAATTGTTTCAGTGTTGAAAGCACTGTAGCCAGCTGTATGTCTGATGGATTTCAGTGAAGATTGACACTTCCTAAAGGTCTCAAATGTTGCCATTTTTTAATTTTTCAGACTGGTCAAATAAGCTTTATGACCCAAACTAGGGAAAAGCTAGAATGCCAAGGAGGTGCAGAAATCAATATACCTTTTCACAGGGCAAGTACAATGAATGTGGTAAAACAAAGCATGTGTCTGTATAGATATGAAAAAGCTGTCAGTCTCTGGGCTGAGTTTGGCTTTTTTGAGCTGCCCTTTTAAAATAAACTGGAGACAAAGCTCTGGGGTAATCATAGTACTTACCCAGTTTTTCTTAATTACTGCAGTTTGGACAAAGCTCTGCATTCGGCTGGCTTCAATTCAGGATTTATAATTTTAGGAACTAATCTCACCAATCCATTGAATATGCTGTTACCTGTTCTTCAAACAGTAAGTAAAAATTGGTGCTATACATATGTAAGGATGCTCCTCTGTTTTCTGGGAGGCTGTCAAGAGGCAAACTACACTTCTCAAGTAATTAATTTAAAACCAAATTGTCTAGATGTTTGTTCTGTAAAAGCAAGAGAACTTCTTTAGTCATGGTCTTAATTATTAGATACTGGTATGAAAATCTTGGGTGGATGGCAGCCAGTTGCTGGAGGAAGGGGCTGCTTGAAACTAACTTTCATCTGATGGAACATAGTGGCAGTGAAGAATGAGGTTGCTGTTGTTCTGTGCATGACAACTACAAGTAACTTTCTCCCATGCCCTACATACACTTTAGTTGTTTGTGGACTTGAGAATTTATCCCCCTAAGTGAGGCAAAATCACTTTTTCACTTTTTAATGTGTATTGCACACCTTGAAAAATACATTCCACTCTGTGGAGTTATATATGTTATAGTAATGCATTAGTCTTTGAAACAGGCCCTACATAAGAACAAACATCTCAACTTCAGTAGGGTTGGAAGGCACCAAGGCCACATTGAAATAAGTCAGTTGGTCATGGGTAAGCTAAGGAAAAGAAAAGCCTTCATGTAAACCAGTGCTTTACTCTCCCCTAGCTGAGTTCTTTCCATGTTCTTGGTATAATGGGTTGGCACAATATATTACTTCCCCATGGTTCCTAAAACAATTGAACACCTAAGCTTGCAATTTACTGAGAAAAGTAGTGTTCAGCAGCAGTATTATCTCAAGTTGTTATTTATCTAAACATAAAATCAATTTTTGTTTGCAAATATGTTCAAAAAGATTCACAAATAGGATGCCTGTACAGTCTTAAATGATTGTTGCCGCTGTACACTTTTTTAAATGTATTCTCAGAATGAAATTAAATATTTCTTGGCCTGAAATTGTACAACACTTCAAAATTAAGGCAAGTTTTACGTTAAAAATGCTCAGTTGCTTTCTCAAACTAATTGTACAAGCTCTATTAGCAACAAGCTTTATTTGGAGCCAGCATGTAAAACTTTTAAAATGGAAGGACTATTACTACCTCAGATGCTATAAGTAGAAACTACTTATTTAGCTTTAAGTAGGGGAAGAATTTGTTTTCCAGTTTGAATTTTTTACTGTCTTTTTAACTGCTTCTCTTCTCGCTTATAGGTTTTTCCACTTGATTATATTCTTATTACAACTATTGTTATGTACTTTATCTTCACTTCCATGGCAGGGATTCGGAATATGGGTATATGGTTCTTCTGGATAAGGGTAAATATAACTTAAGAGTTTTGTTTATACTCAGTAAGATGTTAAATATGTGATATTGAATATAGTCAACAAATAGACATGTACTGCTGCATAAATACTGGATGTTGCAAATAGCACTGTATGTTTAATGGGTGTTAGAAGCCTATTGTACACTTATCACTGTTTTTTGAAAGGTGTTCTGTTTTGCTCAGTAATCAGACTGAAACTGATGTTTCAGTGTGATAAGCAATACAGTCAGCTGACTCTTCAGCTTCTGACATTTCTAAGTTAAAGCCATATGATTCTGATATACTTCGTTAGTGAATTTTATGGTCAAAATATGAAATGCACATGCAGTCAGTAGTGCTTGACTTGCTTTATAGGTGTCAAGCAACTTTATCTAGCATTAAGAGATAAAACAGTACAGTGATGATAATAGCATATCTAAATATGGTAATAGTGCAAATCTATCACCGCATCTGAAAACACAGCTTTGTATGCAACTTACACCTGTGATGCTTGGTGAAATATTTCCCTGCTTCTGTGCCAACTTCCACTTTCATACTGTCACCCTTCTGTGTGGTAACACACCAGAACTCTGAACTGTGACCCTAAGACCTTGGGTTGAGTTAAGGTTGGTTGTTACTTTTGTTCTTCTATCACTTACCCCCTCAGTTGCCAGATTCTTTATCCTAATATGGTACTCGGGTTGAGCTTTTATGGATTACAGAATGGGCTGCTATCTACAGGGTAACAATGAGGGATTATATTGTTCCCTGTAGTGCAAAGTAGAAAAGATGCCACCATATGGTGCACATGTTTTCTCAGAGCCTGGGAATACTCCCTCCTCTGTTTCTGGATCTGATGAGAGGTGTAGTGATGGATGACACCTCACCTTGACCAAAGGACACAATATTCTTTGAAAAACAAAGGCACGGTTTCTTCTCAGGCAACACCATTTAAATCTTGCTACTAGCTGCTGGTTTATAAATTCTCTGCATCATTAATACGAACAAGAATTAACTTGGTTAAATAGCTGTGCTTTGAAATTCAGGTAAATACACATGAAAAACTGCTTTGACTCATTGGAATTAAGTTGCCAGAGGATAATTTTAGCAGCTTCCCACTTCTGTCTGTTACTTTAATTAAAGAGGATTCAAAATGTCTTCAAGAAAAAAAAGTTAATATTTGTATGCTTTCTGCTTTTAGCTTTACAAAATCAGACGAGGAAAAACTCGACCTCAAGCACTTTTGTTTCTCTGTATGATACTTCTGTTGATAGTTCTTCATACAAGTTACATGATCTACAGTCTTGCACCTCAGTATGTAATGTATGGAAGCCAAAAATACCTGGTACAGGTGAGATGTAATACTTTTTTCTTAAAGTAAGACTTTAGTTTTGTCTAAGATACTGTTGACAGTGACTCTTAAAGCCAGGCCCACTCTCAATTTTCAAGACCCTTTGGAGCTATTTTTTTTTAACTACTAGTAGGTCTCTTAATACACAAGCCAGAATATGGTTGTACTATAAATAACAACTTAATTCCTAGATCATCCTCAAACAGTGTAAAACTGAGTATTGCTTTATATCGTTTGACAAGACAGCTACTAGTTTCCATGAGATTTTGTACTGATACGCTTAAGTTGCTGAGTGACTGCAATGAGGATTAGTTTCAGTGTAAGTCTGTCTGTAGGCTGAAAGCAATGTTATTCCATAATTGATAGTTTTATATGCATGTTTGAGAAATGACCAAGACAACTTGGTACAGTAGAGCAGGATAATCTGAACGAAGCTGAGTATGTGCTGATTAATCACATTTCAGACACTTTGGACTGTCCAGCTCCATGAAACTCATTGCAGTTCGTGTTCTATAAAATCTACAGAACTAAGTAGTTAGCACTAGTCTCTGCTTTTATTAGTGCACTTTTGTGTAGTTCAAGGTTTTACTTTTTTTAGTCTTTCCTCTTCTGTACCTGAAGGCTTTAGTTTGGGTATTTCCTATTTTGTGTGGAGACTTACATATTTATGGCGAAGTTCAAAGTTACTGTTCTTAAGCACCCTGAGTTTTTATGTCAGCTCTTCACCAAGATCTGGTATCCTACAGGGGTCAGCTTTGTTAGATCTCACCTTGCAAATATAGGCAATTAACCAGGTTATAGTTGCTCATGTTCAAACACAACAAAGTCCAGATCGCTTGATGTGGTGTTTGGGATTTAAGTTTCATAAAGACTAAACAACTGACCCAAAGTGGTTAGGAGAAGGGAATCAAATAAGAGTGAAGTAACTGGATGCTACTTTGAGCATTTGGAATACTTCTGTTAGCTTTCCAGCATGTTGTGTCTCTGGGAGGAGAACACCACTGGTTTAAAAAAAGAAAAAAAAATCACCCACTAACCTTCAGCAGAAAACATTTAGTGAAATGTGTAACTTAACACTATCAAGTTTTTTCAGTTTGAACGGGATATGCAGGATACTCTGAGCAAGGGGATTACAAGGAGAACTTCAAATAGTGTTAAACATGTTGGAGAAGAGGAACCTCATCAGCTTAAATGTGCTGTGTGGAAGTGGTAGAATTGTCACTGCAGGAAGTGAAGCATTCAAAAAATGCTACTTTGCTGCTGTCTTTACATCATCCTGATGCCAATCCAAGCACAGTAATGGAATCGCCACAGGGGAATTGAATATTTGGTATTTTGGAATTTTAATGTGGTTTTATTAGTTTTTATGCTAGATATAACTAATACAACATAAACATGCTTAGGCATCTATAAAATGGCTCAACCTGTCAGAAATGGGGTAGTAGCAGTAAGAAACTAAGCTGAAAGTCAGTTTCTGAAAGCAGTTTGAGTTTACGTAGGACTCGGGACATGATTACTTGCTGTGTATGTAGCTATCATATATCTGACTAAATTATGAACTCAAGTCCCAGCAAAAGGCAGTTTTTATACTGTAGACTGTATGTTTAATTACAGTTCAGAACCATTGTGGGTGGAAGGGTGGGAAGGACAGTTTCATTAAGGATCCTACCAAGCTAGTCTTTAAAACTTTCAGTGACCTAAGAAAAGAATCTTTCATGATAAAGCTTGTAGATAACATAGAATGATGAAGAGAAAAGTAAATGAAGATTGTAGCTGTTTGTTTTGCTTCATGAATGAAATGGCAGTGTTTCAGTAAAATTGTGTATATTTTACTGTATAGGGGGGCAGAAGAACTGAGACTTAACAAACACTTGAATGTTAGTGTTTGACAAAATATCTGCACACAGATATTTAGTTTGTAATGAAAAGGGTGAAGAGGATGGAGCACAGCAGTAGGGAAGCTCTTATGTCATTCAAACAGCTATTGAAATACAATCCTGGTCAGCACTGCAAGAAGGATTAGCTGGAATGGTTGAATAGAGCTACAACATTTCATTTAAAGGATTAAAAAAATGTTATGGTCAAGATAACCATTCTAGGTCTTTTAGCTTCGTATGTTCCATTTCAAAGCTGTCTTTAAAGTGTATAAAGTAACTTGGGTAGAAACTGGTCTTATTGTGAAAATAACATGAAGCGTAGAGTATGTTAGTAAATTACACCTGGACATCTCTGGAATACCAAATAAATGTAAGGTTTTCAGACAGTATGCTCTCAAACAACCTTTCAGAATGTACCAGACACATTTTCTGTGTCTCGCTACCCTGATAACAGAATGTTACGTTTTTGGTTTTGGTTTTTTTTTTAAATGAGGAGAGGTGGTGACTGGGAATGAAGGAGTGACACTTTTCTGTGGATGTTACCAATGAAGAGGTTCTTAAGAGTTAAGAATTGGCTATGATGGAACTGAGTGTCCAGGTACATACACAGGAACTGGGCAAGTGAAATAAATTTTGTGCCTAGGCAACCTTCCTGATGATGGAAGTTGGATGTACCAGTTTGCTTGGACAGTCTAGATTTTCATTGCTCACTGTTCTGGTTTAGGCCCAGCAAATAACAAAAGACTTTGGCTACTTGTTCCAGTCCATATTTTGCCTGTTAATTCTCTCAATTAATATCCTTTTCTCTAATTTCTCTGCCTTGTGTTGAGTGTCCATAAAAGGACTGTTGTGGTTTAGGTGCAGCCAGCAGCAAAAGACCACAGATGCTGCCTGATCACTCCTTCCCCAGGTGGGACAGGGAGGAGAAAATACAAGGAAGGGCTCATGGGTCAAGACAAGGACAGGGAGTGATCACTCACCAGTTAGTCATAGGCACAACAGACTCAACTTGGGGAAGAAAAATCAATTTGCTTAGCTACTAATCAGATCAGAATAGGATAGTGAGACAAAACCAGACATTAAAACACCTTCCACCAACCCTTCCCTTCTTCCCAGGCTCAGCTTTGCTACCAATTTCTCTACCTCCTTCACCCCCAGCAGCACAGGGGGATGGGGAATGGGGGTTGTGCTCAGTTCATCACATGTGGTCTCTGTTGCTCCTTTCTCTTCCGAGGGAGGACTGCTCACTCTTCCCCTGCCCCATTGTGGGGTCCTTCCCACAGGAGACAGTCCTCCACAAACTTCTCTGATGCGAGTCCGGCCTACAGGAGTTTGCTTGCAGTTTTGTTCATTAAATGCTCCAGTGTGGGTCCCTTCCATGGGCATCCTGTCCTTCAGGAGCAGACTGTTCCAGCATGGGCTTCCCATGGAGTCATGAGCTTCTTCAGGTACAGCTGCCTGCTCCGGCATGGGGCCTTCCCTGGGCTGCAGGGGCGTCTCTGCTCCCCCGTGACCCTCCAGGGCACAGCCTGCCCTCTCACCATGGGCTGAAGGGAACCTCTGCTCCTGCCTACCTCCTCCTGCCTTTCTGCTCTGACTTCTGGTGTGTGCCTGATTGTCTCACATACCAGGTCTCCCTCCTTCTACTTCTTTCTCTGATCTTTCCAGTCCTGCTGCTACTTCTCTTTTTCCTCTTAAGGCACTGACTGGCTCTGGCCAGAGGTGGGTCTGACTTGGAGCTGGGGAAGCTTCTAGGAGCTTCTCTTAGGAGCCCCCCGTGTCCCTTTCCTGTTACCAAAACCCCCTCACCACAGTCAATTTCATCAGTTAAGGTAACAGCACTGGTAACCAACACTTCATTGAAACAAGCAATTAATAAGCAGTAGTCCAAGTCAGCTTAGTGGATGAGTGGGCTGATACATATGTATATCAGAATCTGGTGGCTCAGTGTTTAAGAGCACTTCCCCCTTTTCTCTGCTCTACAGTAATTCCCAGTCTAGTAACCTGTCAAACTAATTTGTAACCAAAATCTATAGTGATGTGTTAGACAGGTTAGAATCCCCTTTGAATCTTGAACTGTTTCCTTTGGAGACTGTTACTCTTGACAAGACCTTTTAACTTTGAAGTGCTGTCGACTTTTACTGGTAATTGAATATGTGCAGAAAAATTGAGCTCTTGTGAGGCAATTAATGTTAGCTAGACCTGGGCTACTTGCTTTATTTAACTCTTTGACCAATGGAGTGTTCAAAGCATGTTTCCCCAATTTATCAAAAGTGTCTTCAGCTATGATGTCTGTAGGAAACTTTTGAAAGTTTCTTTTGGATCCAGTGCCCTTACCAACTGAGGCTCTGTGTAGGGGTTGCTCAACTTGCATAGCTAGTCTTCCTTCAAACAGGATGCTTGCTTTCATCTCTTAAGGCAACCTTTTTAACATCTGCTAAACAGCCTTGAGTCTGTAGCCTTTCACAAAGGTAAAGCATTTGTCCACATCCAAGCCTTTTCAGCTTTGCATCAAAAAACAACCTTGCCTGTACTTGAAGTGTAATTGCTATTTGTAATCAACATGGCCAAGTTTTCCATTTGTCTGAAAGAAAGACCACTGCTTGCTGACGTTTCTACCTTGTGGAAACCTGTAAGGTTTGACTGGCTCTAACAGGAATTACATGTCCAGCATTTGTCAATTGACACTTTTCCCCGACTGAGGGCCAGAGCAGCCACAGTATCAGTTACTTTCATATAGATAATTCTGAGGAGTGGATCTAAGCTGCGGGACATAAAGTGTCTCCATTGTCATCATTAGGAATCCAGATGTATCCCTTAAATGGCCAAGTGTGCAAACAGATCTTTAGGTTCTTCATCCTGAACTTAATTTGTTCCTGCTTATGTAACAGGCTGTAACCTAAACCTTTATATCATAGCTTGCTAGTTTCTTAAGTGTCAACTCTTGAAGCACACACGCTGAGTTACTGTACTTGGTTTTGTCTTCTGCTTGTCCTTGAGGCATCCTGCCTTCAGCTTTGGACTGGATGTGATAACTGGAGCACTAGAGTTTCTCTGACAATACTCACACTAAAAATGTCTGAGACTTGAGTGCTTCACTGTATAATGCCAAGTAAATTATTTTGAGGAATTGTTCTGGAGACACACCTCTGCTGTCACTTGTGCATCTCTACCATGTCCAGTCATTTTCTCAGTGTTCTGCAGGGCAAAAGGACCTCTACCTCAAGTGTATGTATGCTAATAAAAAGCGTTGAGATGACAGCATTGAGGGCAAGGCTCTCATACATTTTCTGGGAAATCAGCACACCTTGGTTGCCTCTGAAGTGCGTGAATACTAATGCATGCAGCAGAGGAAATAAAGGAGTTAAAAGATTGCATGCAGTTGCAGGTCTGCAGTCTTGCTGTGATTGGAGATGGGGTGAAATAGCTTATGCAAGTGGAGTGCTGCCATGGCTAGTTGTGGGCTCTGAGGGTGATAGGCTGGGATGGCCAGCAGGGAGAGTTGACCTTTATGTGAGAAAGCACTGGGAATGTGTGGAGTCTTGCCTTGGGATGGATAAAACACCTAAATGCTTACGGATTAGGATTAGAGTGCAGATTAGCATGGGTGATATTGTCTGCTATAGGCTACCTAATCAGGAGGAAGTAGCAGATATTCCCTTAAGGCACATCTAAGTAACTTCATGTTCACAGTCCCTGGTCCTCGCAGGAGGCTTGAACCACCCAGGTATCTGCTGGGAAAGCAACACAGTTGAGGCCAAGCAGGAGGCTTCTGCTGTTGACAACTTCCTGACATGGGCAATTGAGGACCTGAAACAGGGAAATGCTGTCTTGGACCTGGTGCTAAAAACAGAAGTGATCAAGGGCAGTCTTGGCTGCAGTGAACATGAGATGGTGAAAGTTCAGAATCCTGAGGAGAGAACAGGGAAAATGGTAGGATCATGACCCTGGACTCAGGGGAGCAGGATTTAGCCTGTTCATGGACCTCCTTGGAATAGTTCCAGCATACAGAAACCAATTCTATCCTGGCAGAGATGTGGGTTGTTGGGGTTTTTTTTTCCTTCACTCTAATTTCTTTCACTGGATGTAGTCATATTGAACTCTTGCTGAGTCTTAACTAAAACCTAACAATATTTATGGTAATAACTTAATGTAAGTAATAACTTCCAGATTAATCCTCTTCTCTGCAATTTGGCTTTGTGTACAACTCCTTTTGCTTTGTTTAATACTTGTGTATTTTGCTTTGTGTTGTACTAGTTATAATCTTAAATTTGAATGTTAAACTTTAGGTACATAATATAACAATGGTGTTCAACTGAAAGTTAATGAGTGCCATTTCTCTTGGTATGGCAAATGTGGTTCTTAATGTTTATTTTGAAGGATTAGTACTATGAAATGCTTTACTTTATCTCTCTTAGAATGCATGTGTTGGGTTTTTTTGGTGTAAAGGTAGAAAACTTTAAGTGGACCTTCACAAGGTTTTGCATTGTATAGGGGAGAAGAAGGGATTGCTAGAGAAAGAGGGTGGGTTTATGGCTTTAAGGTACAGTCCAGTGCCTTGACCTTGTGGAAAGCATTTAGAGTTGAATCCAGATATGTCAGAAGTCTTAAATTACAGGAGTGTTCATGGAAAACAAGAATGTCGTCAGACCTGGGAAAAAGAATAGGTGTTGTCAAAGTAAATGCACAGGTCTAGCTATTGCTGCATGTCAAACTTCTACTATTTAAAAAATTAAAATTAATATAGGTAAGGAAGTCAAAATTTTGAAATGGCAAGATTTTAATTGTTCTGTGGTTTTTTGTATGTCCCTGTGTAATGGTACAACATAACTGTTCTTCTGAAAGAAGCATTGTCTTTGACTAAGCAGTGTATGTTGTAATGGTGACAGCCAGCTGGAGTACCTCTTGGAGATGGACCACTGCTAAATGTACACTGAATAATTGAAATTTCATGTCTTACCCTGTTGCTTTTAATCTCCATACTGGCCTCTTACTTTTGGTTCTACATTAGTTCCTGATTCCTGTGCCTAATCATACTCCTTTTGGGTCAGTTTCTTCTGAGGCAGTAGTGGTCTACATACTTCCATGTGTTCATATGAAACAAAGTTAACTGCTCATACAAACAGCTGCTTGTTAGGATAGGTACTTGTTTGTTTCTGTTGAATGTTCAGAATAAAAGCTGAATTTACTTAATATCGATAAACTTTCTTGATTAGTTGTCAGAGAAACACAGTTTTATGTGCCAGCTTGTTCCGATTTCCCATAGATTTTAAGGGACATCTTTTCAGCCTGAAGGAGAAAAGGTGTTGTCCCTTACTGATTTCTTTAGAGGGCTTCTTGTTTAGAAAATCATGAGGGTGAAAGTACGTACAGTAGATATGAGACCCTTAGTGTATGAAGAAATCAGTGTAGTATAAAGGATTTGCATTGGACTCTACTGAAATTATTCACTGATTATTCAAAAGTAAGTGTGGTGCATAAAGAATTCATTCAATCTCTGAAAGGGTCAATCTTCCAAAGACTTGAGACACTGAAAACCCAAATATTCCTGTTCCAGTAGTTTACTTAAGCATAATTTGTCTTCCTACACTCTGGCTATCTAAGTGTGTTGGATACTATCATCTGGCTTTTGGACCAGAAGTAAACTGCATTAGGTATTGTTCTGCAAGCCTAACACTTCTGTGGTGTCTTCATCACCAAAGTTACATTCTAAATTCATTTTCTGCACAATTAAAAGGTTTAATTTTAGAGATGAAGTTTGTCTTTCACAAGTCTTCAAAAAGATCACAAGCTATTAATTTTTTCTAAATGAAAGCATATTAAGAAATGTTGGTGTTGTACCACTTACAACTTACTCTACATATACTGTTCAAAACCAATCTTAATTCTTTTGAATATCGTACAAGTTTTTTCAAAGCCTTTTTTCTAGAATTAATAATTTATTGGGAGATATGTTTATTTCAGGGGCTATCATTGTGTATGGAAGAACACTGCTGGTGGACTAGTGTACTAATTTTCCCTATTTATAATGCAGAGTAATAAGACAATTGATGGCCAGCCAAGGAATGTGACATTTATATCTAAAGACTGTGATGCAGATGCACCTGAAGGTAAGATAAATAAATTTCTTGTTTTGCCTATGTGATATGTACATGCTTAGCTGTAATAAGCAGCTCAGTCTCTTCACAGCTTTGATTTGCTTTAGTCAGCTATGAAGCTTTGATGTATAGCTATGTCCAGGAAAAAAGCTTTCTTACAGCTTATTTAATTAACTTGAAGAAATTACTGTTTTCAGTAGAAATCATGTGTAACAACATTCCAATTAATATTAAAATCTCCCTTTTGCTTTAACATGTATGTAGAAAACCTCTTAAAATGAACCCTAGCTGATGATAAGTTTAGCATCTGGAGTGTCATTTCAATGTGTGTGTTTATCATAGAAACATGCAGAGAAATATTCTATTAAATTTAGCAAGAAAACTCAGATCTAAACTTCTCAGTGCAACTATATAGATAAAAACTGCAGAAATATCTTAAGATGTAAATATGAGCTGTTGCACAAGCAGCACCACCAGTGGAACTAGACATTTTAGGCAGTTATCCTCTAATACTCAACTTATTCCCTATAACATCAGTAAACTCCTGCTCACCTCTTATTAACAATCCTTTTTTTGACCAGTTATTTGGGCAGAAGATGTACTGCGAATATTCTGGAGCTGAGAGTAGTGACTGGGAAGCAGATAGGTAGTTGTGGAGCTTTCTTTGACTTTCTATGTAAGCCTTAATGTTGAATTTCTTTGAGAGAATGGTAACACTTTTTTGTCTTCATTCCTCTCTGAAATTTGGCTAAAGCTGGTAATGAATTTTAGTTGGGTGTCACTAAAAAAATCAAGCTAATTGATTTGATTGTGCTGGATTTCTGTTTTACTATATTGCCCTTCCCTCTGTACATAATTTTTTTCAGTTTGAATTACACTAGCCATTGCAGTACTGGTACTGCTGTTTAAGGTCACCATCAATTTTATTGATTGTTTTGGTCTCTTCTTTAAAAAATTGATACCAGCAAAAGATTTATGGCCTTCAGAAAGGTCCAGATTTCTTCAGGCTGAAGGTCTCAACTGTACTTGCTCTGGCAGGCTTTCAGCTCTTCTATGTAAAGAGGAGTTGAATTATGTATGCATTTATATATTCTAAAAAGGCTTGAGAGTATGTGTTAATTGATAGAAAAGATAAACACTTGTCCTGTATTGTCATCGTATTTATCAGTATTCTGTATCTACTGAGTTATGACTGTGCTTCTAGAAGAACATAGAATCTTTCAAGTTGGAAAAGACCTTTAAGATGATCAAGTCCAACCATAAACCTAGTACTGCCAAGACCACCACTAAGCACCACATCTAAATGTCTCTTAAATACCTCCAGGGATGGTGACTCAACCACCTCCCTGGGCAGCCTCTTCCAATGCCTCATAACCACTTCAGTGAAGAATTTGTTTCCTAATATCCATCCTAAACCTCCCCTGGCACAACTTGAGGCCATTTCCTCTTGTCCTATCGCTTGTCAATGGGAAAAGAGACCAACACCAACCTCTCTGCAACCTCTTTTCAGGCAGTTGTAGAGAGAAATAAAGGTCTCCCCTGAGCCTCCTCTTCTCCAGGCTGAACAACCCTAGCTCCCTCAGCCACTCCTCACAGGACTTGTGCTCTAGAACCTTCCCCAGCTCTGTTGTCCTTCTCTGGACATGCTCCAGCACCTCTATGTGTCTTGAACTGAAGAGCCCAAAGCTGAACACAGGATTTGAGGTGCAGCCTCACCAGTGCTGAGTACAGGGTGACAATCCCTTCCCTAGTCCTGCTAGCCACACTGTTCCTGATGCAGGCCAGGATGCCATTGACCTTCTTGGCCACCTGGGCACACTGCTGGTTCATATTAGCAGCTCCTCAGGTTTTCTTTTTACTTGTGTTATTGGGAAAGATAATACTGACTTTTCAACTATTTTTGTACTAGTGGAGACAACTGGACCTTTAGTTCTTTGTTCCCAGTCTATCTGACTTTGGTCTTTTTTGCATGGTGGTTCCCCCTTGCATTTACTCATCTTCAAATTTAGTATGTAGGTGTTAGTCATGTTGCTGGTGGTTCATATAGTTTCCCAAGGGGGATGGATTTTTCTCCTGTCTTCTCCGTACATCAAAAATCATTCATCCTTTATTTCTGAGGGTTATTTTTAGACTTATTGCATTTTTAAGTGTGTTGATATTGGCAAATGTAATTGTTCAACTCTGTTTTTAAGCTGCCATGTTTTTGTGATTAAAAATAGAAACTATTCTGTGGCAGAGTTTAGAAGAGCAAAATCTATCATCTTTCAAAATGACATGCTGTACAGATCTTTCTTGTAGATAGTTTCTCGGCTTAGCTAGTGATTGCTGGGAGAAGAATATACTCAATGGCATTGATAAGCTCATTAGTCTTGACTTTTCTGGAATAATTCAAATAGCCTGTTTTCCTCAGATTTTGTTTCTTAATCGTAGGAACTGGGGTTGGACTGAAACTTCCTAAATTCTGCCTGTGCTTCATGATGTTTGAGTTCTTTGAATACTTTTTTTGTTTTGTTTTCCTAATTTGCTTTGATCAATGAAAATAACATAGCTGATGCTTAAAACTAGCGTTCTGATGCGCTGAACACAAGAGTTGGCCTGTGTAAATGATGGCTTTGGTTTGCCATCATTAACGTGTTGTTGCACGAGGCATCTTTGAGTCATTCTCCTTTCTTAATAGGAAGGAGGTGGAGGAAGTATTGATATGCTGTCCTGTGCTAGCCTAGTGTAAGGAGAAGATGGATGGATATTTCTTAAATGTGAACATTAATGTGATCGAAAGGCTGCAGTGGAGTTCTCTGAACTTAGATACAGTCAGGCTATTAGTGTTTTTATAAATGGAAGGAAAGTTTCTTTTGTAATGCTCAATTAAAAAAACAGTTGCATTAGTGAAGACACTTCATTCACTGTTTCACCCAATCAATTTTAGAAAGGAGAAATGTCATGCTTGCCTCAGAATACTTCCCATTTTTAATACCTGATAATGAAAACTAATGGAAGTAAGTTTTTTGTAAATGATACTTATGCTCTGTGATCAGATGGAAGATGTTGACAAATGAAACTTATTTCAAAGGTAGGAACTAAAGTTTTAAATACACTTTCTCTTGTTTTTAAGGATACTAGAGACAGAGCAAAAAATATAACTAACTTAAAGGTTTACCAAGCACTTGTTTATATTGACTTCTGGTACTAGGCTTTTATCTTAAGTTAACCAGTGAACTGGAACTAAATGCAATTATTGATTTGTCTTCTCAGCACTTACATTATTTTGTTTTGTTTCAAACTGAATTAATTCTAACAGGTGTGTTTCCTTAAACATAAAACAAATGATGACCTTTTAATGGCTGTGCTGATGGATAAGCTTACAGCAGTCTGCTCTGTCTTATTGAATACTAAGATGTTGTAGATATGATCTCTAATTCAAGTACACTTCTTTTGTTTCTGAGATGGTAGAAGAGACCTGATCTGATCTTGTAGCAACTAATACTCTCAAACTTCAATATTGTGAACTTCAGGTTTAATGGCCAGTGTTTTCTGTATCTGTGTTTCAAGCGAGTGTTTGGCTTGATGGAAAAGACAATTACACTTTCTGGAGAAACATAAGGCAGTTAAAATACAGTCTTATAAAAACCACACTCTTAAGTATTTACAGTTAAATATCTAATTTGTGGGGGTTTAGCATTATATTGTCTGCTTTCATGCAGAAAGCTTGTCTCTATTTACTCCTGGTATGCAGGAGGTGAATGCTTTATACTGAATGCCAGAGGCCATAACAGTATAACTATGTGAAACAGAAGAGAAGCTAGAATGTCATAGAGCAGTCTGCATCTTATAACTCCATAAAGTAACTTTTCTTAGATACATTTAAACATCTTGCATCCTGGTTAATAATAGACTTTTCAAAAGCTTTTTAAATAATCTTTTGCAGCAGCAAATTTAATGTGTGTTTTGCCTATAACTGATGTTACTTTTTGGTGCTTGATGCAGTTGGGCGAAGATCTCGTTTGATCATTGTTTCAAGGACTAATGCCTGCTGAACTATTGGGTCCACAGTTCAGTTGAGCATAAGGTCAAGCAGAGGAGTTCAATTATGTGATGAAGACTCTTGCAGCTGGACTAATGCACTGAAAACTTGGTATAGGTTTAGCTAAACAGGTTAATGAGATTTAATGTAAATGAGGAAGGACTCGCCTGCAAGCCTGTGTACAATACTCTTCCCAACCTTATTTGAGATCTGATAAATGCTATCTTCTTCTTTCTAGACCAGAAAACTATTGAATGCTTGGTTTTTAAGCATCATTCACTTTAAATGTGTAACATGTTATGAATCCCCCTTGGATTCTGACATTTCCTTAATTGGGGAAATGAGCCTTATCCAAGGCTTGCTAAATGCTGGGTACAGTCTATCTGCTGGGCCTTTTTCATGGACCTACTTGACTTCAACTGCATGTGAAGTGGGGAAAAAACAAAGTTTATCTCCATTTCAAAGGCTTTGAACTGAGCAGGGCTTACTGTGCTAATTAGGTCTGTGCCTTCTAATAGGACTTTCCTGTCAACTGGAAGTCAACAAGGGCAAGACCTCAGGCTTTATTTTAGCCTGAATAAAGACTATATGTAGATGTTACTCAACCTGGAAAGGAACCCCAAATATGATTGCCAGAACAGGAGCTTATTTTACTCCTTCAGAGAAATTGGAGTCATAAAAAGTAAAAGTACAAGCAAGTTGCTCAGAACATCCACTGTTCAGTTATTTTATATTGTGTCTTATGACCATAGACTTCAAACTGGTTGTTTTAAATGAATTAGTTTGCAGAGTTATAAAACGCTTCACAAAAAGCCTAAATGAGGATTTTTGGTGAGGACCTTCATCCATTTTCCTGTTATTTTACTGAATGACCTTACCAGTATCCTACCTTGAATCTCTACTTACACCTAACACTATTGAAGACCTCCAATCATGAGAACTCAGTATAAATAAGCACAGTGTTGCATGTTTGCTGCAGAGAACCCTGTTT